GTGCTCTTCGTCCATTTCTCGTCCTTAAAGATGAATATTCCCTGCCGCACCCCCAGACGCGTCCGCGGGCCATGCCGGGCGCTTTGCCTGAGGCCTCACCACGTATGATCTTGAAGTTTGAGAGTCGCAACAGCTTCAAGTACGGAGGGCAGGCTGTTTTCAATATGGAGCTCTCGCCTCAGTGCCGTGCGCATTCGTTTATACAGTTTGCAACAGCGTCAAAGACGGAGGGTGGGCCGGTTTCAAATTGGAGTTCTCGCTTCAGCGCCGCGCGCATTCGTCTTACAACACTGCAACTGCTTCAAGGAGGTAGGCTGGTTTGTTGTCGACATGTGGCTCTAACCTCAGCGCCGCGCACATTCGTGTTAAGGTGTGCAACCGTTCGAAGTGGTCGTAGGGTGGAAGTCCCAACAACCGTGTTGTGGCGCGGTTGAATCTTGCCAGGACGCAACAGTCAAGTGCACTCGCGGCCCTGACGTCCCAGGGATGACGTTGAGGCATGATTCCAGACGGTCGGGACGCAGCCGTCACGCTGATTCGCGGCGCTGTGCTGCCAGAAGTGGCGTTTGGGCACGAGCTAGACTTTTCAAACAGCCTCGGGGCTTTAGGGTGCCGGAGCCCGATCAAAATGTTTGAGCCCGTAGGCGCAAGCACACAGAGGCGTCGGTGGAGCCACGGGAGGGGCGCTCCAGGGGCGAATGGCGGCACACGAGGAGGGAGGACAAGAGAGGAGGAGGGCCCGCGGGGAGCGGAGGCCGCACTCGGGCTGTGAGGTCCAGAAGCGGGTGCCGGGAGAGTGCGGCAGAGTGCAGGGCGTGCGCACAGGGGTAGCCCACGAGGCCAGAGCGTAGGGCCAGAGCCAAGGACATCCAGGGAGAGGTTCGAGCAACCAGGTAGCACCTCCGCACACGACGACGAGAAGACCAGGTGAAGCCCAAAGCCCAATTCAAGAGGTCAGAACCACCGTGGCGACGGGCATCGACGACCAGGGAAGGAAGAATATTGAAACAGGCACAAAGGGTCACGAAACCAAGACCAATCCAGGCGAACGAGCGCCCCGGGAGCGAACATCCAGGGACCAGCCGACGAGGTGAGCAGGCGCAGGCGCCGAGAAGGCACGGACACCGTGTGGAAGAAGGCCGTGGACAACATGAGCACGACCAGGCAGGCGATTCCGGGTGGGAGCTGCGACTGAGCCTGGAGGGCCCCACTGGGAGCACCCAGTGCTGGGCCAGGCCGCGCAGCGCTGGGGCAGCCCGGAAGCTGCGGCCAGACAGCAGCTGACCGACCGCCGAGGCGCCAGGAGGCGCCGGCGGGGGGGAGGGGAGGAGTGGGGAGCGGGAGGAGACCAGGGAGGAGGGGAGGAGGGGGCCGCACCACGGCCAGGGGAGGGGCCATCAGCAACGGAGCGCCAGGGCGGCGAGAAGCCAGAGCAGCGTGGGAGTGGAGCGTGAATCGCGCGAACGTCACGCCCCCAGGTCCCCGGCGGCCCAGCTCCAAGCAGCCATCGCTCTGAAAGCACAGGCCATGTGATCAAGGGTACACGGCCGGGGGAGGGGCGATCAACTACAGAGCACCAGGGCGGCGAAAAGTCGGACCAGCGTGGCGTTGGAGTAATTCGGGCGTGAACCGCGTGAACGTCACAACGACCCAACCCGAGGTCCCCGGCGGCCCACCTCCAAGCAGCCATTATTCTGAGAGCACAGTCCATCAGCAGCTGAGCACCAGAGCGGCGAAACGATCATACCATGTAACATTGTTTTGTGATTGCAGGTGTTTTGTAATGGCGAGGCATATCCTCTTGTTTGGAGTTTGGGGGAGTGCAAATCTGTCTTGTCGTTGATTGGTTCGAACGGTTGCGTTTCAAAGACCACTTCCTGACATGAAGATGAGCTCTTGTACGGGACCTACGAAGAGCGTATTTGAAGGGATGGCTTGTTGCAACATCGTTCATGCGTCTTGGGTGGTCATTGGTCCTACTCCTTGTCGTATTCCTCATGTTCCTCAGCCTCGTCCTCCTCCTCCTCCTCCTCCTCCTCCTCCTCCTCCTCCTCCTCTACCTCTTCAGCGTCATCATCATCAGCAGCAGCAACAGCAGCATAATCGTCTTCATCACCATCATGATCAGCATCACCATCGTCACCATTAGCATCATCAGCAGCATCATCATCGTCATCGTCATCATCAGCATCATGATCAGCAACCTCATCAGCAGCTGGGTCATCATCCTCGTCCTCATCGTCATACTCAGATTCCTCATCCTCAACATCAGCAGCATCGTCGTCATCGTCATCACCATCATCATCATCATCATCATCATCATCATCATCATCATCATCATCATCAGCATCATCATCATCATCATCATCAACAGCAGCAGCAGCAGCATCAGCATCAGCATCAGCATCAGCATCAGCATCAGCATCAGCATCATCAACAGCATCATCATCATCAGCAGCAGCATCAGCAGCAGCAGCATCCCTCCTCTCCTCCCTCTCCTCCCTCTCCTTTATCTCCTCCCTCTCCTCCCTCGCCTCTCTCCTCACTTGTCGACGCCCCCAAGGCCCTTCGCCTGCAGGCGGAGGCCCGGCAGCCCAAGGGCGGCGAGTCCCCGCAGGCGGGCGCCGCGACGCGCCGTCGGCTGTTCGCTCTCCATGTTCCCTGGAGGCCTCCAGATGGCTCCAAGATGGGGGCTCAGGATTATGATGTTCCAACCTACTTTCGCCATGATCACCAGAAGGAGGTTTGTCAGCCACCAAAGGGCTTTCACGTGTCGGGCCCATGGGAGGCGATGCTCGTTCGGAACTGCGCCAGCGTGTCGGGCATGCACTGTTTCGATCCTTGTCTGGGTGCTCGAAATTAGTTCTGGGGTGTGGATCTCCAGCACGATGGGAACAGCATGAGCTCAGGAGTGGCCCTGGAGGAGGCCAAGACTGCCCTGCGAGGCTACCAAGACGCGCCCAAGACGGGCCCCGCGTGAAGGCCTCAGGCCCCTCCACGCTCGGAGAAAGGACCAAGCAGGCCCACCCACCCACGGGAGACGACAAGGCTCGGCGGGGCCTCAATGTGGCCCACGTGGAGGCCCCAGACGGACCCGGGGGAGGCCCAAGGCGTCTCCGAGAGGGCCCCCGAGAAGCCCCCGAGACGGCCCCGGGAGGGCCGCAGGGTGCGCAAAGGCCAACAGAGCCCAGCGTGCCCACCGGGGCCCATGACGGGCCGGGAGGGCCCAGAAGGCGCCAAGAGGCGCTGAGGGAGTCCCCAAAAGGTCCCGCAAGAGTTTCACGAGAGTTCTCGTGCTCCTGCTGTGCTGGGCTGCTGTGCTGGCAGGCATCTGCCATGCGCATGCTCTCTCACTCTTCTGTCTCTCTTCCTGTCTATCTCGTTCGCGCTGTGTCTCGGCCTTGCGCCCCATTCATTCGAATGCCACGGCCTAGGCGAGAAGAGGAGTCTTGCGGCGCGGGGAAGGGGGAAGGATAAACCCTTCCCTGACGCGGAAAAAGAAGGTCGGAAGAGGAAACGCTCGAAACCACCTCCGCCCAGAGGGCCGATGGTGCCCCTCGCCACGGCCGGGTATAGCCTTCCGCTCGCTCTTGCAGCCTCCCTTTCACGCACGACACGAATCGAACCGAACTCAGCATTGTTTGTTGGGGTGGCCAACCCCGTTCACACAACACACACACACACACATACCAACCTCTAATTGGACGACGTGTGCTTGTTGATATGAAATTACCGCGCACGCAAACACTGCAACCTTTTGATCTCGAAGCGGGAGCACCTATTGGACACCATGTGTACGCGCTCTCTTTGTGTGGTGGTGCGGCGGAGCAGACGGACACTTGTGCGTACAGCCTCATACAGCGCGTGTGGAACACATGTTTGCACAGCTCGTGCATTTGCCATGTGCGTATGTCACGCACGGTCTGCACTCTTGGGCGAAATGGGAATAAACACTGCGTGGCTCAGACCGTGCACGTTGCAGTACGTGCCCCACGTGTGCGGTATTTCTCTGTGCACATCCTGTGTGTTGCGCTCTGGTGTTCCTTTCGCGCGTGCGTCCCCACAGCGAAGAAGAACAGGCAGTGCGTAGCCCATGTCTTGGGCGTTGATGTGCGCGGCACGTGCGCTGAACTCCATGGAGCGAATTTGGAATAGACGCGGTGTGAAGCCCGTGCCTTGTGTATTGCCGAGCACGTCGCATCCCCAGTGGCCTCTCAAGAGCAGTGGAGGGCTGGCACTTGAGCCTCCCAGTGTCCGTCAGGGGCTTCGGAGGCGTCCCAAAAGTGTTCTGGGGTTGCTCAGGGGTCCCCATGAGGCTCCAAGAGGCTACGGGCCTCCAGGAGCCGCTGTCGCTGGGAAAGGTCGCCTCATTGACTTCTGGGAGCGCTCCACAGACATCTACGGATTTCCCAAGGCCGTCCTAGGACCTCCACAGCATCATGGGGTCTACCGCAGAAGGACTACAGAAGATGGGGAAGGGCATTGTGGCACCGCAGCTCCATGGCGACCGCCACGATGAAGATCGTCCAAAGGCTGCATAGAGTCTCCCATGGGCGTCGGGGGACCTTTCAGTGACTGCCAAAGGCCTGCCAAGACTTTAAGTGAGATTATATAGTCAAGCCCACAGAATTGCATGAGGCTTCAGGGGGCGCAGGAACTGGACGTTAGAGATGTGGGGAGGCTGACCTTCCCTGGGGAGGCTGTTTCATTTGGAGGCTCCCTGAGGGGATCCCGCAGGAGATGGTGGCACCGCCCACAGGGACCAGTCACCGAGAGCCATCCCCACTGAACAGCCTTCTACTTCCAACCTCAACCTGCAACCTTGCTTCACACGCCCGTACGCCCCCTAAGAGGGGCGGGCATGTACTGTTGCTCTCTGGGTGGTGGGGGAGGGGGGGCTCACCGCCATGGCTGGGCGCGCGTCTCGACAACGATCATGATAGCACCCAGCCAGCGAAGGATCTGGGAACCGACTGTGAATGGAACGGGGAGGGGGGAATGCCTTCCTGGCCACGTGCGGAGAGGTGAGGCCAAAGCCTCCTGGCTCGAGCCTCAAAGCGCTCACAGATTCGCCGCATCGCAGCCCTGCGCTGCCACTGCGAATCGTTGCCACTGCGAATCGTTGCAAAATCCGAGGAGCAGGCCATGCCGCCGCCGAAGCTAAAAAAGGTTGACAGAGACAAGAAAGGGCAAAGTAGCGTGCCAGAGGCACCAAAGGAGGCGCCGCGTTCGAGTGGACGGCCTGCTGCGTCGCCAGCAACCTCGTCGCAAGTTGCGGTTCAGTTGCCCATGGTGCGCGTGTACGCCGTCTTACGGGAGGCGCTCATCAACAACGACCACAAGGTTGGGCCCATATCAATTGTGTCGACCAGGTTCGATATTGATTTCGCCCGGCTCGATCCAATCTAGTTTCGAAGTTTGTCGCGATCCGGTATTGGTTGTTGTTCACACGGCGTAGTCGTGTCTCGTGGCGCGGGCGCTTCGGTTCGATGTCGATTCGGTGCCGAGTCGGCTCGAGTATTATTTGCACGTTCCGATCCAATCCGAATTTCTTTTGCAAGGTGTGCATCGGTGCTGAGCACTTGGGATGGAGCATGGCAGAAGGTGCTCAGCATCTGAGTCCAGCGGGACTTGCCCTGATGGAAGGTCATCTGTTCTTCATTGACATTCACGTACCTCCCGATGGGCGCCTCGTTTTCAAGATTGGACAAGACGGTCAATGGCCGTATTTTTACAGGTGGGGAACATATGAAGGTATCTGTCCAAAGGGATTCACCCTGTGCCGCTAGGACCCACAGATGGATCCGTGCCTGGGGGGGCATCGGGTTGGAAACGTGGATGTTCGGTTTGCGTTGCCGCATTTTGAGTATGTCGTCACGTCCCGTCTATCAGAGTTGATGGATTCGTGAAATATGGGGCGGTCGGATTGGACGCGTATGTTGGCCTTCTGAGGCCATCCTGAAGTTTATTGGGGCGCTCTTAGGCCTTGGAACCCTCTCGGGGCGTTAAGCAGGTCCTGTTTGCGCCCCCTTCGTCCCCTTCTCGGGCATTCTGGAAGGCCATCTTGGAACTCACTTGGAGCAATAGTGGAGCTCTTTGGATTTTGCTTGGGGGTCGTTTTGGCATACGTGCTGGCAGTTCTGCGCCCGCCCGAAGACCCCATGGGCCATCTTGGGCCTATATGGGGCCGCCGAAGCCCATCTGGGGCCGAAGATGCAAGAAGGTGGCCAAAAAGAGTCGGTTGTTCAATATCAATGACCGTCACGATGCCGTTTGAATGTGCATCGGGGAGCCCCAGCAACAGGATCGGATATTGGGTGAGTTTACGTCGATGGGTTTCCCAGCGATAAGATCCCAGGCACATTCTCAAAACAGTGGTCGCGCACGTTTGGGGATCGTTGATCAGTCGCTGGAGAGTTGGGTCTGCTGGCGCAGGAATTGTTCGGGCCATACGTTGCGCACATGGTGTCCGTCATGGGTTGTGCATGCTGGCCTTGGAGCTTGTCGCGGCCATAAGCTGCGCCCACGAGTTGCCACTCGGGTTGAGGATGCTGACCTGGGAATGTAGGTGGCCACGGCTTGCACCATCGGTTGTACCATAAGTTACGCTCTGGGCTGTGTTGCATTGGTTTGCGTTGATGTGTTTTGCATCGGTGTGTTGTGCATCGCACTATTTTTGGCATAGGTTTTAGCTGGTATTGCAGTAAATTGATGTGAAGTTAGTTGTATTGCTCTGGTTTGCATTGGGTTACTTGTTTGCATTGCGTTGTACTGCAGATATTATGCTATGCTCTGCGTCGCGTTCACTTGCTGTGCATTTTATTGTTGCTGCTACCAGTGTCCGCCCATGAGCCCCGCTCGTTGATAATAGTTCACTGTTAGTTGTCCGCTATGGTACCGTTCATGTGGGTGAAGTTTCCCAGCGATATGATCATCGTAGTCCAACTGCCTGCGGAAATTTCCGCAACGTGTTAGCGCACAGGCCGCGGCGACGGCGACGGAAGAAAGCGAAGGCGACGTCGGCGACAACGATGACGACGCCGGCGACAACAACGGCGGCGCGGTGACGGCAACGATTGTGACGACGACGGTGACGACGGCGGCGCTGGCGGCGACGTTGGCAACAACAACAACGACGGCGATGGCGGCATCGACGGCAACGGCGACGACGTCGACGGCTAGGGCGACGACGGCGACGGTGACGACCGCGGCGACGACGGCGACGTCAGCGGCGACGGCACTGCAGGCTGCTGAAATGCTCACACTCGATAAACAAAAAGTGCTGGAGTGTTTCCTTGTTTTCTGCTCGGACTGCTGGAAGGCTCGCGATCGGTAAGACACATTGCTGGAGCGCACGCCGTAAGGTGCTGGAACGCTCGCGCTCGAAAAAACATACAGCGATGGAGCGCACCCTTTTTTCTCCATGGGCTGCTGGAATGTCCTCGCTCGATGAAGCCAGGCGCTTGAACAACATCCCACTTGGCGCATTAAGTATATCGAAGACGCCTACGGCGAATCACCGCCGCCCCCTGCCTTTTTGGAAGCGCCTATGTGGCCTCCTAACTTTGAGGCCAGACCTGCTAAGCTATCGGGCCATGTGTTCCCCGAATCGGTTTGGAAAGCCTTCGGGGAACACGTGGGCATCTTGAAGGTCATCTTGGCCGTCAGGAGGCCGTTTTGACCCTTTCGGGCCTTCTTGGAGGACGTCTTGGAGGGCTCTTGGGCCGTCTTGGAGGCCATCTTGAGCGTCTTGGAGGCCTCTTGGGCCGTTTTGGATGCCTTTGGGGGCCGTCTTGGGGGCCTCTTGAGCGATCTTTGAAGGCACTTGGGCCGTCTCGGGCCGTCGGAACGCCCCAAAAAAGCAAATGCCACAATCCGTCAAAAACCCATGGGAAATCAATGATTTTGGCCTTTTCGGGCCTTCCTGGATGCCCTCTTGGAGGTCTCTTGGGCCCGTCTTGGGCCATCTTAGGGCCATCTTCGGCCGTCTTGGTGGGCTCCTGGCCCGTCTGACGCCGTCGGAAGCCGTTTGGGGGGCCTCTCTGGGCCGACTTGGGGCCCTCTTGGAATGCTCCAGGGCTGTCTTGGAGGCCATCTTGAGTGTCTGAAAGGCCTCCTGGGCCGTCGTGGGGGCATCTTGGAGCCGTCTTGGGGGCCTCTTGGGCCGTTCTGGGGCCATCTTGGAGGCCTCTTGGGCGATCTTTCGGCGATTTTTGGGGGCTCTTGGGCCGTCTCGGGCCGTCGGAAGGCCGAAAAGAAGCAAATGTCAAATCCTTCTTAACCCAAGGACTGTTAGCGTGTTTTTTTGCCTTTTTCTAGCCTTCCTGGAGGACCTCTTGGAGGCCTCTTGGGCCGTCTTGGGCCAGCGTCGAGCCAACTTCGGCCATCTTGGTGGGTTCCTGGCATGTCTGACGCCGTCGGGAGCCGTCTTGAGGGCCTCTCTGAACTGGCTTGGGGCCCTCTTGGGGCGCTTCGGGGCCGTCTTGGAGGCCATCTTGGGCGTCTTGGAAGCATCTTGGCCCTTCTTGGGGCCCTCTTGGAGCCGTCTTGGGGGCCTCTTGGACCGTAATGGGGCCATCTTGGAGGCCTCGTGGGCGATCTTGGGGGCCTCTTGGGCCGTCTTGAGCCGTCGGAAGGCCGAAAAGAAGCAAATGCCAAAATCCTTTAAAACCCTTCGGATAATCAATGATGTTGGCCTTTTCGGACCCTCCTGGAGGACCTCTTGGAGGCCTCTTGGGTCGTCTTGGGCCGTCTTGGAGGCTTCTTGGGCGAACTTGGAGGTATTTAGGGCTCTCTTGAACCGTCTTGGAGGCCGTCTTGGACCATCTTTGGTGGACTTGGAGGCCATCTTGGACCATTTTGGAGGTCATCTTGGGCCAACGTGGCCATCTTGGAGGCCATCTTGAGCTGTCTTGGAGGATTTGTTTCTGGATTGGGGTTTTTCCGTGTGCCCGGCGGGACGCGCCAGAGCCCCAGGGGGAGTCCGCCGCCCCCTGATGATTCATCACAGGGGTGCCTTGCGTGCTAGATCCTTTCGGTTTTGGTTTTGGTTCTTTTCCAAAAGAACTCCCACGGGGCTTCGGCGCGTCCCGCCGGCCACCCGGAAAATCCCCTTTCCGGGAACAAAAATATTCTAAGACAGCTCAAGATCTCCTCCAAGATGGCCACGTTGGCCCAAGATGGCCTCCAAGATGGTCCAAGATGGCCTCCAAGTCCGCCCAAGATGGTCCAAGACGGCCTCATGACGGCCCAAGAGAGTCCAAGATATCTCCAAGTTCGCACAAGAAGTCTCCAAGACGGCCCAATACGACCCAAGACGCCTCCAAGAGGTCCTCCAGGAGGGTCCGAAAAGGCCAACATCATTGATTCCCAACCATCCTGTGGTGTTGGGTCATCATTCTGAAGAGACGGTCCCCGCGCTCCTTTCCTCTACTCCTCCTGCTCCACCTCCTCCCTCTCCCTCCTTCTTCTTCCATGCCCACCCAGCACACCGCTTCGTGGCCCCATAGGGAGCTCCACCGAAGCCCCCAGTGGGACCGCCCGCATGCGTCCCCCGACCCAATTTGGCATTTTCACATACCCAGTACACCGCTTCGCGGCCCCATAGGGAGCTCCACCGAAGCCCCCAGTGGAACCCCCCGCATGCGCCCCCCGACCCAATTTGGCATTTTCACCCACCCAGTACAACGTCTCGTGGCCCCATAGGGAGCTCCACCGAAGCCCCCACTGGGACCGCCCGCATGCGTCCCCCGACCCAATTTGGCATTTCCACGCACCCAGTACCACGCTTCGTGGCCCCTTGGGGAGCTCCACCGAAGCCCCCAGTGGGACCGCCCGCATGCGTCCCCCACACACAATTTGGCATTTTCACACACCCAGTACAGCGTTTCGTGGCCCCATTGGGAGCGCCACCGAAGCCCCCAGTGGGACCGCCCGCATGCGTATTTTCACCTACCCAGTACAGCGCTTCGTGACCCCATAGGGAGCTCCACCGAACCCCCCAGTGGCACCGCCCACATGCGCACCCCACATCCAGTTTGGCATTTTCACCCACCCAGAACAGCGCTTCGTGGCCCAATAGGGAGCCCCACCGAAGCCCCCACTGGGACCGCCCGCGTGCGTCCCCCACACCAATTTGGCGTTTTCACACACCCAATACAGCGCTTCGTGGCCCCATAGGGAGCTCCACCGAAGCCCCCAGTGGGACCGCCCGCATGCGCCCCCCACACCCAATTTGGCATTTTCACCAACCAGTGCACCGCTTCGTGGCCCCATAGGGAGCTCCACCGGAGCCCCCTGTGGGACCGCCCGCACGCACCCCCCACGCCCAATTTGGCATTTTCACCCACCCAGTACAGCGCTCCGTGACCCCATAGGGAGCTCCACCGAAACCCCCAATGGTACCGCCCACATGCGCCCCCCACACCCAGTTTGGCATTTTCAACCCACCCAGAACAGCGCTTCGTGGCCCAATAGGAAGCCTCACCGAAGCTCCCAGTGGGACCGCCCGCATGCGTCTCCCACACCCAACTTGGCAGTGTCACCCACCTAGTACAGCGCGTCGTGGCCCCATAGGGAGCTCCACCGAAGCCTCCAGTGGGACCGCCCGCATGCGTCCCCCGCATTAGATTTGGCACTGTCACCCACCAAATACAGCGCTCCGAGGCCCCATAGGGAGCTCCACCGAAGCCTCCACTGGGACCGCCCGCATGCGTCCCCCACACCCAATTTAGCATTTTCACACACCCAGTACAGCGTTGTTGGCCCCATATGGCGCCCCACCGAAGCCCTCAGTGGGGCCGCCCGCATGCGCCCCCCACACCCAATTTGGCATGTTCACCCACCCTTTACAACAGTTCGCGGCCCCCGAAGCCCCCAATGGGACCGCCCGCATGCTTCCCACACGCCTAATTTGGTATTTTCACCCACCCAGTGCAGCGCTTCGTGGCCTCATGGGGAGCTTCACCGACGGCCCCAGTGCTACCGCCCGCATGCGTTCCCCCCTTGCCCAGCGCAGCGCTTCGTGGCCTCATAGGGAGCTTCACCGAAGAAGATATTCACAATTGCGGCACCCAGAACTTCATATGGTTGGGTCCTTCGCCGGGATAATGTTCCCAAGTTGTTTGAAGGATTTGGGCATTTGCTTTGTTTCGGCCTTCCGACGGCTCAAGACGATCGCCCTCCAAGATGGCCCCATGACGGCCCAAGAGGGCCCCAAGAGGGCCCCAAGACGGGCCAAGAGGCTTCCATGACGCCCAAGATGGCCTCCAAGACGGCCCCGAAGCGTCCCAAGAGGGCCCCAAGCCGGTTCAGAGAGGCCCCCAAGACGGCTCCCGACGGCGTCAGACGTGCCAGGAACCCACCAAGATGGCCGAAGTTGGCTCGAAGCTGGCCCAAGACAGGCCAAGAGGCCTCCAAGAGGGCCTCCAGGAAGGCCAGAAGAGGCCAAACACACGTATGCCCATTTGGTTTTTGAAGGGTTTTGACATTTGCTTCTTTTCGGCCTTCCGACGGCCCGAGACGGCCCAAGAGCCCCCAATGATCGCCCAAGAGGCTTCCAAGATGGCCCCAGAACTGCCCAAGAGGCCCCCAAGACAGCCCCAAGAGGCCCCCAAGACGGCCCAGGAGGCCTTCAAGACGCCCAAGATGGCTTCCAAGACGGCCCTGGAGCATTCCAAGAGGGCCCCAAGTCGGTTCAGAGAGGCCTCCCAAACGGCTTCCGACGGCGTCAGACGGGCCAGGAGCCCACCAAGACGGCCGAAGACGGCCCAAAGATGGCCCAAGACGGCCCAAGAGGCCTCCAAGAGGAAGGCCAGAAAAAGCCAACATCATTGATTTCCCATTGGTTTTTGAAGATTGTGGCGTTTGCTTTTTTTCGGCCTTCGACGGCCCGAGACGACCCAAGTGCCCCCAAAGATCGCCCAAGACGGCCCCAAGAGGCCCCCAAGACGGCCCACGAGGCCTCCAAGACGCTCAAGATGGCCTCCAAGACGGCCCAAGAGCCCCCCAAGACGTCCTCCAAGAAGGCCCGAAAGAGTCAAAACGGCCTCCAGGCGGCCAAGATGACCTTCAAGATGCCCACGTGTTCCCCGAAGGCTTTCCAAACCGATTCGGGAACAGATGGTCCGATAGCTTGGCAGGTCTGGCCTCAAAGTTCGGCCACATAGGCGCTTCCAAAAAGGCAGGGGGCGGCGGTGATTCCCAGTAGGCGTCTTCGATTATTTTGGGAAAAGAACCAGTACCATTACCCTGGCGACGTACCCACCCCCTGCGCAAACGCGGGGCGCAAATAGTTTAGGACATGTTATAAGGGGGGCGATGACGGAGCGAGGGTTACATATGTCTGCAGACGGAATTCGGGAGACTCGCAGGACACTGGCTACAGTACAAGGATTAGAGAAAGCTAATTGGTTACAATCCTTGAGCACCCCTAGCCACTTCGAAAGCGGGGATCTCAATATCGCAGTCCCCGAGAGATGGCGAGGTCTGCGGCGAGGTCACAGAAACAATAACGGTTCGAGAATGATGTGATCGAGGGCCTGAGGGCAACTCACGAGGCATGCGGGGCGTCTCGTGGAGAGCAAGTTGTTTCTTTCCGTATCGCCCCCTGCAAATGATGCGCAAAGCGCTTGCATGTTTTACGAGATACAACTCTTCACCCAGCGGGTTCCAAACAATTTGATGCAGCATAAACGCAGACACATGTGATTGAACTACTACTCGCCAGGCTCCCTAAGAGCCCCCGCTGACGTTGCAGCAGCAACATGGCGTGGAGAGCACGAGCGCGGGGAAGGAAGGCCGGAGGAAAGGGAGGGACGATGTTTTGAGGCATGCCAATTGTCGCCACAGTCACTGCCAGATGCAAGAGCTGCACAGAACGGAATTTAAAAGCTAGCAGAAGACCTTGCGCCACGTGGGGCCTCGCTCTTCATTCACTCGACGCCCCAGTAGGCGGCGCGGGCGCGCTTGCCGCGCGCGCGCCTCGCAAGCAGGCCCCAAACGCTAGCCGCTGTATCATGAGTCGACGCACTGCTAATCAGTCTTCCAGTCGGCAAGACTACGTCTGCATGGCGCTCCCCCCGGCCTAGTGCACCTGCTTGGAAATCTGCCAAGATCGCATTGCGCAGTTCAGGGATTCCCATACTGGGGTCGATACGTCTGTTCCAGCATTCTTCTTTATACTCCTTCACCAGGCCCAGCAATCCGCCGGCATACACGGCCCAGAGGCGCAGCAGATGAATGCTATCATGGCATCCCGAGCACAAGGTCATCCCCATGCGCAGCGGCGGAATGCAAGGGTTTGCCACGCGGAGCCCCCCTTTCGTGTCACGCAATTCGCCGCGAGCGACGGCGGCGCCGTCGCTTCTGATGAGCAGCGAGCACCAACGGCCGGCGGACACGCTCGCGTAGGTCAGCCCGCGCGGGAGCTCCGGGATGTTACACTGCCCCCATGTGTTCCAGCCGCTTGCAACCGCCGTGCCATCGCTCCTGAGCAGCACAGTGTGATGGGCGCTTGCTGCCACCTGCACATAGCTACGCCCTTCTGGCAGTTCCGTCACCGGGCGCATGCCGCCCCGCTCATCTCTGCCGCGCGTCACCGCGGCACCGCCGCTTGTGACCATCACAGTTCGACCCGCCGCAGCGGTGACCTGCGTGTAAAAGAGCTCCGCCTGCAAGGCGAGTTCTAGTTTGGGTCCGCGCGTGGCGTCGCTGTGCTGGGCCCCCCAGCAGGCTTCGAAAGTGGCGACAGTTTCACAGATCGCGCCCCCCAGGGATGGCGAGGTCTACTTTGGGCCCGCGCGCGGCGTCACTGTGCTGGGCCCCCCAGCAGGCCTCGAAAGTGGCGACAGTTTCACAGATCGCAGCCCCCCAGGGATGGCGAGGTCTAGTTTGGGTCCGCGCGCGGCGCCACAGTGCTGGGCCCCCCAGCAGGCCTCGAAAGTAGCGACCGTCTCGCAGATCGCAGCCCCCCGCAGGCAAGACAGGAGGAGGCAGGCAGGAGGCAGGAGGTAGGCGGGAGGAGACGCCCGAGCAGTGCTTCAACCAAGGAGGGTTGGGAGTAAAGCAGGAAGAAGGACGCAGGAGGAGGGAGGGGGGCGAGAGGAAGGAAGGTGGGGACCACAATCCCTTATTCAAAACGAATGCCCAACCAAGGAGGGCTGGAAAAAAGCGGTAAGATTTGGCACGCCAGGCACCCCTCTTGCAAACGACAGGGGGCGCCGGATCCATCTGCCTGCGGCGTGTCCCGCCACCGTGCCGGCCCAGCGCTCGGGGTGGCAAGTATTCGAGGAGCGCACAATAAGCCGTAACATGTGTCACTTCGTGCCCCAAGGCTTTGGAAATAATTTGTCGCGTTGGCCTAGCAATTTGTGGGTCCGCAACCGCTGGATCAATCCCGCCGCGCGAGACGGGGTTCGCCCATGGAGTGGGCGAGGGGTTCGCCCATGGAGTGGGCGAGGGCCGCCGCGGCGGGCGCGGGCGGCCCGGCGCACCTGGGTAGCCTCTGGCACGGGCAGAGGTGCACCTGTCAGGTGGACCTCGGCGAGGGGTTTTCGATCGACCGCGAGCTGCTGCGCCTGCTGGAGGGCCAGCTGCAGCGTTGCGGGCCCGCCAACCTCACGGTCCCCGCGCCTTGTGCTCCGCCCGAGTGCTCGGCCCTGGCGGGCGCCTGCGCCTCGACGGCCCGCGGCCCGTGGTGGCTGCGCCGCGGAGCGACGGCCGCCCAGGACCGTCTCTGCCTGCCAGAGGTCCCCGATGTCCGCTCACCTTCGTCAGGGCCAGCGGGTGCTCGTCTCCTACGACGTGGACCCACGTCTGCTCTGGCATGAGCGGCTCTTGTGCGCTCGCGCGCACGAGGGCGCGTGGGTGGTTGCCACTCCCGAGCGCGACATCGACCTGGAGGACATTCAGGGCGGGGTCGAGAGCCTGGCGCCGCTCGGCCCGATGGGCGGGCTGCCGTCTGGCCGGGGCCGCGGACCGGCGCACGCGTTCCGGGGCTCGCCCCAGGGCCCGCTGCATCAGGCCGAGAGCTTGCGCCTGCAGGCGGAAGGTGCGGAGCTGGCGGAGCAGGAGCGGCGGGGCCTCGGCCTAGGCGCTGCTCGGCCTGCGCCCCCCCCCCCCACAGGCGCGCCGCCGCCGCTGGCGCTGGGGGGCGACCCAGCGGTTGAGGAGGGCGAGTGGCGCTTTGCCGAGAGTCGAGGAAAGGCGCGCTTGGGCGAGCGCGTGGGCGCCGCGGAGCTGGAGGCTGGCTGCCGCCGCGGCGATCGAGGGATAGCCCAGGTGGGTGGCCTTTTTCGTCGCGCGCTCCTTCTTCAGGCCGGGCGAGGAGGTGCCAGCGCCCAGAGGGGCCGCATTGGGGGAGCCGGCCAGCGAGCTGCGGACGCCCCCCGCGAGGCACGAGAAGGCGAGTCAGCGGTAGGCCGCGTCGCGCACCACGACCACGGCCTTCGACGACTGGCCCATCAGCGGGCCTCGGGCGGCAGAGTGGCTCGCGCGCGAGATCGTCCGCCAGGAGCTGACGCCAGTGCGGAGGCACTTCTGGCGGCGACAGCTCTTGGGCCTGGGCCCCAGCGACTGGGGTGTGGGGGAGCACGAGTCCGTCGGCCGGCTCTTCGAGTACGCCCTGACGTGCGACCAGCTCAACTTCGGTGAGTTGGCCTCGCTGGAGCTCGCGGGGCGGCGCTACCAGTTTCTGGAGGAGAGGTACGCCCGGATGCTAATCTCGGCGACGGCAGGCGGTGACAGCGGCCACCTCGACAACGACAGGCTCTTCATGGGCGAGGAGGGCCGGCACGGGCGCGCCTTGCGCCAGCGCTGGAGACCCGGATCTCGCAGAAGTTGGCGGCGGAGAGCGCCGCGCTCAAGAAGCGTCACGAGGCCGTGGGGGAGCGGCAACTGGCTCGCTCGACGGACGCGGCCCCCTGTGCCTCAAGCAAGACGAACGACGACAAGCCCCCCAAGAACCCGCGCAAGAAAGGCGTCGGGCAGGGGGGCGGGGCTGCTTGAGCCACTTCGGACGGCGGAGGCTTCTGAACGTCGCCCCAGCTGCTTGGGGGGGGGGCTCGCGTGAGGGGGATGGCGAGCCACCTTGGTGTTGCAGGTGAGGGACTTGACTGGGCTCGCGATCTGCTGCCACTGCCGTCTGGTCGCTGCCTGGCTGATCTCCTGGGGTGGTTATCGCCGGCGGGGCCGGGTGTTTCGCGCTGCGCGGATCGGCGGCGCTCGCGCCGTCGGGCTGCGGAGGCGTGGCTGCAGGTCGGCGTCGCGACGCTCAACGCTCTGGGCGGGCGCGGTGAGGCGTGGGGCCCCAAAGTGTTGCCTGGTGCCATTCAACGCCAGGCGGTGGCCAGCTTGGCCAGGGCCTACTACTCCGTGCCGCCACCGCCCGACGACCTCACCACCTCGGGAGCGCGGTCTGCGCTTCGGGGCCGCGGGTCCGGCTACGCCTGTGATGGCGTCGTCGAGAGTTCGCTACCTACCAGCGCGGCAGGCTTGCCCTGCCGGCGGTCGGCAATCAGGCGATCGACCGCGTCGGCTGCCTGCCCGACCACTACCAGAAGCTGCTGGAGGATAGTGGCCGCGCCTTTCGGCCACCAGCAGCGCGTGCACAGGACGGCGCGGCCCAGGCGGACGAGTTGGACATCGCGATGGATCCCATCCTGTCGAGGTATCTGAGCAAGTTCGCCGAACTTTTGATCAGTGCCTGTGAATCTGGAGTCGTCGAGCCGGCGGCCGAGGTTCGCAATTTCGTGGGGGTCTTTTGTTCGTGCGAAGGACGGCTCGCTGCCGATCATCTTCGATCCTCGGAAGACCAACGCGCAGTTCGCGCCGCCCGACGGCGTCGCCCTGGCCTCGCCCGAGGCCCTCGGCGATCTGGAGCTGCCAGCTGGCCAAATGTTGTGGGTCAGCGAGGGGGGCGTCGAGAACTGCTACTACCAGTTCCTGCTGCCAGTCGACCTGCGCGCCGACTTTGCGCTGCCGGCGGCGCCGCGTCGGGCGCTGCCGCGACGCTTGCGCGGCCTGTGTCCTGTAGGCGCCGAGCTGGTGCACTTCCAGGTTCGCGCGGTGCCGATGGACTGGAGCTGGGCCGCGGCGCTCGTGCAGGCGGCAAATGCGGAGCTGCTGCGGTCAGGGCTGTTGGGCGCTCGACGCTGGCTCTGCAATCGCCGCTGCGCGCCCGCCGTCGCCGGGCGCGAGCCCGCTGCTCTCCTGCACATCGACAGCATCGCCTCGTTGGGGACCGTGAAGGAGGCAGCCCAGGTTGGTGGCGAGTCGGTGGAGAGGTAGCTGAGGGGTCGTGGCCTGGCTACTCATGACGTCTCCGGGCCTCAAGTCAACGTGGACCTCCTGGGCTTCCACATCGACGGGGAGAAGGGCGCGATCCACATCGCGCCCAAGCGTTTCTGGCGGCTGGTCCTGAGTCTGGACTACATCCCGACGCATCCACTCCTGACGGGGGCCGAGCTGGGGAGGCTGATCGGACACCTGACGTACGTCCTCTTGCTGCGGCGCGAGATGCTCAGCCTGCTCAGCGCCTCTTAGGTCTTCATCAGCAAGTGCTACGCTCGCCGAGTGCGGCCCTGGCCTTCAGTGCGTCGGGAGCTGTCCTGGATGCGGGCGCTGCTGCCGCTGGTGTGGGCCGATATGCGAGGCACCCGGGCGCCTAGCGCCATGGCCGTGGACGCGCCCCTGACGGGCCTGGGCGCTGCGGAGCGCGCGGCCGCCCCAGCCGAGGTGGGCCGCATCGGGCGCGTGCGAGAGCGCTGGCGGTTCAAGGGGCGCGAGCTCGCGGCCGAGGGTTCGAGGGCGCGCGCCTTGCGAGAGGGCGCCGTGGGCGACCCCGCCTTCCCCGACGCGCCCGCCGATTTCTGGAAGTCATCTCTGTAGAAGACTGGCTTCGAGGCGCTGGCGGCACAAGGCTCCTATCCATCTCCTGGGGGGCAAGGCGCTGCTCTGGGCGATGCGGAGGCAGGTGCGCCGGGCGGCGCATCGCGGCTGCCGGCTGCTCTTCCTGTCCGATAGCATGTGTATCTGTTGTGCAGGCGCAAACAGACGAGCCTCGGACTTTCCCATCCTTGCACAGTTACGGCGCCTCACCGCACTTCAGCTCGCTTCTTCGTGTCGAGTCTACTGCAGTTCGTTGGATTCCCTCCGAGTGGAGCCCCGCCGACAGCCCTTCCAGGCGGTTCGAGCCTCGCCGTTTGCGGGGAGATGGAAGGCCGAACGCTCCTGGCGGCCGCGCCGATGGAGCCTCCGCCGCTGGCCTCGAGCGCGCCTGCGGGCCGCCGCCGAGCTGCGGCCGCGCCTCTGGGCGCCCCGCCGGCGAGGACCCGTGCCAGACGCCGAGGCACCGCGGCCGAGCCGCCGGCCGCGACGGCCTTGCCGTGGCACCGCCTCCTGGGCTCGAGCGTCTCGGGCCTGGAGCTGGAGGCAGTGAGGCCGCCGACGCAGCAGAACTACTTGCGCTGCCCCAGTGGCCTTTGCCGCTGGCTGGGTCTGGTGACTCTGCCCAACTGGAGCGCGCCGGGGTGGGGCGACGCGCTGCTGCAGTACCTGAGCGACGAGTTCTCGGGAGGTGCGCGGCCCAACAGGGCGGCGAAGCTGCTGTCGGCGGCGCCGTGGGCGAGGCCGGCGCTGGGGCGACCCCTGCGGGCGGTGCTGCCGCGGAGCAGCCGAGCGCTGCTGGGCAGGAAGCGCGGGCGACCGGGCCCCTCGCGCCCGTCGCCTCCCTGGCTTGTCCTGTGCGGAGTCCTGGAGATCCTGCTGCAGAATGGCCCGGTGGCGATGGCGTGCGCCCTCAGCCTCATGTTCCACTGCCACCTGCGACCAGGCGAGCTGCTGGCCACGAAGGCGTTTCAGCTGGTGGCACCGGCTCAGGGCCTGCAAGGCGGGTTCCGCTGGCGGACGCTGCTGCTGCATCCAGAGGAGCTGCTGGCGCCCGGCAAGACTGGCGAGCTGGGCGACTCGCTGCCACCGGACGCCCCCGAGCTCCTCTGGCGCACGCAGGCGCTGAGCGAGCGCAAGGCGCGGCTGGAGCCCCGCGCGCCGCTGTGGAGTTTCGGCTACGCGCAGCTGCGCGCGGAGTTCGAGGAGTCGCTGGCGGCGCTGGGCCTGCGAGGCCTCGGCGCCACGCTGTCCGGCTTGAGGCGCGGCGGAACCAGTCCCGACAGGATCGTGTGTCGCAGGTCGCTGGAGGAAGTGGCCCAGCGCGGCCGCGGGCAGGCCCGGCTCTCGGTCATATGATACGAGAAACACGGGCGCCTGGCGCTGCAGGTGGCGAAAGGCGCCGCGCGTTTTGCAGCAGCGGCTGCGCCTGAGCACGCAGCGACTGCCCAGCCTGTTCGGGCTCAGCTCCACGCGACGCTCAACCGAGATCGCCTGGGCAGAGAACGAATCGCCGTCGAGGTCTTCTTGGGTTCGGGTAGGCTCGCCGCCGCACTGCGCACCCGAGGCGCCACCACGCTGGAGTGGGACATCATTCGAGGAGCGAAGTTCGATCTTACCAAGGCGGCCAGCCTTGAGACCCTGAAAGGCTGGATTCTCAGTGGAGAAGTGAGCATCCTTTGCCTAGGCACACCCTGCACGTCGTTCTCGATGGCTCGTAGGTTTGCAAAGTCGGGGCCCAGACCTTTGCGGTCCAAGGAATTCCGTCTGGGTCTGCCGATTTTGTCCGTGGCCGATCGTTCTAGAGTGCAGTTAGGTAACAAGTTGATGCAAGCCTCCGTGGCGCTCGCCAGGCTTGCTCATGCTCGGGGGGTCCCGGGAGGGCTCGAATATCCTGCCTTTTTCTAGACATTGGCTTTGTCCGCTTGTGTTGGGTCTCGCGAGGCTCACCAGCGTTCGGGATGTCTTCACCGAATTTTGTATGTGGGGCGAGCCGTGGTGAAAGCGCACGCGGTTTCGCCTCTGGCACATCCCCTCGGATTGTCTCGGGCGAAAGTGCCACAGAAGGGGGATCTTCTAGCGATCTGGATGTAGGCACCAAGTTCTCGAAGGCAAGGCCCCTGGAGGCAAATTTTGGACGGCCGTGGCACAGCCTCATCCGAAGCTCCTGTGTATAGCTCTTGCTAAATCTTTGGTGGACGCCTCATGTGATGATAGATCAACACGGTTGTGGAATATATGTAAAGAGTAGCGGTATAACCAGTGCATTAATGGCATTGGCCGTGTGGTTGGCCAAGAGTTTTTTGTTTCTTGAATGCCGCCAGGTTCTATGTACCGTTGTTGCCGAGGTTCCTCGGCCCGGCGCCCTCTCAAGCTTGTGCTGGAGAAAAAATAGAAGGCTTTGGCGATAGTTTATCGTGTTGGCCTGGCGATTTGTGGATCCGCAACCGCTGGATCAATCCAGCCGCGCGAGCCGCCCAACGCTCCCTCCCGTTTCTGCTTTCCTGCCTTCTTTTCCCACGCTAATTCAAGAATGCATCAGGCCAAGAGTTTTTTGCTTGTTGAATGCCGCCAAGTGCTATGTACCGTTGCTGCCGAGGCTCCTCGGCCCGGCGCCCTCTCAAGCTTGTGCTGGAGAAAAATAGAAAGCCTGGGAGAGTCGCAACATGTGGCACGCTCTACCGCGTCGTGTCGGGATGTCTAGCCTCGCGTTCGTCATTGCCGTCCTCCTCTCCCATTCTTCCCTCCTCTCTTGGAGGCCTGGTGGGGGCCTCTTTGGGTTTCCGCGGGTCGACTCAGGGAGCTCTTGGGAAGTCTGGTGCCTTCGGCGTCCGTCTTGAACTCCGCTCTGGGCCGACTTGGGGCATTCCTGGGGCCCTGAAGGGGGACGCCCCTCGGGGCCGTCTTGGAGCTTTCTTGGGGCCGTGAAGGGTCGTGGGGGGGGTACTTTGGGGCCGCTTTGGGACAGTCTTGGAAGCTTTTTGGGCCAGCTCGAGAGCCTCTTGGGCCACACTGGGGCCCTCTTGGGCAGTGTTGGGGCCACCGCGGAAGCCTCGTAGGAAATCTTGGGCTGGCGGAAGCCAGAACAGGTGAGAGCGCTAAAACGCGACAACATGAACATATGGGGAAGCGATACATTTGATGTATTCTGGCCCTACTGGGGGTCCTTCTGGAGACCTCTTGGACCGTCTTGGGATCCTCTTAGGCCGTCTTGAGGCCATGTCGGGCCGCTCTGGGGCAGTATGGGGTTAGACTCGAGACACATTGGGTGATCTTGGCGGCGTTGGTGGCCTGTCTCGGCCAGGTCGGAATCCGTTGTATGCATCTTGGACGCCGTGGAGAGCGCCGAGGAAGCGCCGGGGCGCCCAGGAACCCCTGGAGGAGGGAGGCGGCGCGCGCCCGCGCACAGCTGCATGTCGCGAGGCGGGGCGTCGAGGCGGGCGAGGGGGGGGGCCTTGCAAGAATACAACGGCCCTACCGGACAGCAGTTGGCATTCTGCAAAGCCTCAACGTGCCAGAGGGCACGGTGGCGGATACATGGGATGGGGGAGGGGAGGAGAGGGGAGAGGGAGGGGAGCACGCGGGAGTGCCAGCATCGTGCCCCCGCCTCGCTCTCAAACGAGGGGCAGTCGCGCTGCCCCGACGCACAGGCACGAGTGGTACATGCTCACCGGGGGCAGTATTCCCATGGCTGCAGGCCCTACTTGAACCATCTTGGGCTGGGAGATCTGGGAAACCCTATATACCGGAAATCCAGAGGGGTTCCCTCGGTGTCTCAGTGGTTGTGGCTTTCCCGGAGGACACGTCGACAGCACGCGTCGTGCATTGGGAGTCTATTAGGGTCCCCATTGGAGCCTCTGCCACTTTTCGCTCGGGCGCTTTTTCGGCACGATTATTTTTCCGATAATTTCGCATAACGAAAACTCCTTGGGGGCTGTTAGGCGCATCCTGAAGCAATGGCGAGCAGCGCTGGCGGCCTTGGTGGCCTTCCTGGGCCATCTCGCAAAGCTCTGGGGGGTGCCAAGGGGGCGTACTGGTGTCGGGCCGCCCAGGGGCAGCTTCGGGGAGGGGGAGGTGCATGCCGCTGGGCACAGAGCATTCATCCACGCCTCGACCATGCTGGGGGGGAGGGCCTGGTGGCAGATTTGGTTCTCGTGCACGGGGCTTCTCGGCGAGAGGGCCCCACAAAGAGTCGCGAGGATCCCAGCTAGAGGTACGTGCATGCGCTGCCCAGTGACAGGGCTCGGCGTGCACGTGTGTGAACAGGGCGTCCATGTCCCGCGCAACTTCGTCTAGATCCTCCGAGTGATATGGGTCCAGCGACAGGGTCCCTCGCCTTTGCCATTGCGCACTGCGCTAGAGCTCCACATGCAAGTCCGCGGCTTAGCGCACTGATGGGGGGGACGCTTGTCCCTTCGACTGGTAGTTCGAGCTGTTCCAGGATAATGTTGGCTGGCGCTTTGGTGCGCCACCAGCTGCGGTTTGATCGGCGCCAGTAGCCCTGGCTAGCCAGGACAAGGCGTATTTGATGTGATATGTTGGCGCGTGGGTGCGCCACTAGCCACGTAGCCCCGATAAGCTTCGCGTGCGTCTGCAGGCTGCTACGTGCGGCCGCAAGGTTCCACTTGCCTCTGCGTGTTTTCACTCGCTTCAACATGTGCACATTGTTCTGTCGCTCGCTGCCTGCACTTTTAAGGTGGCGTTCGCTCGCTGGTGTCATTGCATGTGCTTCGCTCTCTTCTGGAAGGCAACCCAAGGTGAGAGAATATGGTACGACTGGGCGAATACCATGACTCTGGGCCCTGGGTGGCCACCTGCTCAGCAACAATTGTACATCGACCTTCAGCGTATCCCGTCACCTTGCCTGGGTCGTGAAGAAGAAGCCCCTTGGATGCCTCATCGAGGCCTTTTGAATCGAGCCTCTTGGGGCCTTCCTGAGCGCCTCGTGGAGGGCCTCTTGGGGACTTCTTGGGGGCCTAATGACTGTCTCGGGGGCCATCTTGGGGTGGAGGGCTCCAAATTGCAGTTCGAGCTCCCCCTCTTGAGGCCCTCTTGGGGGCTCCTGGGGCCCCCCTCGGGGGCCTCCATGGCGGGCCTCGGGGGCTCTCTTGGGCGAGTTTTCGGAGCCTTTGTTGGCCGGCTTGGATGTGCTGAGGTCCAACAAGCCGAGCACACCTCACAGATTCACATACACATTGCTCACGTCTAATTTGTCGACAGTTCTTTGATTTTTTTGGGGCCCAAGATCATGTCATTTCTAATTGTTCTATCCTGGGCCTCTTCCTGGCCACTAGGGGGCCAGGAACAATTGAAAACGAGCACAATTAGAAATGAGCACGATTAGAAATGAACGACGTGTAGTTGTCTAGTGGTTTGGGCCCTCAGGGTGGCCCAAGAGGCCCCAAAGGAAGCCCCACGACGTCCCCGTGAAACATGCCGAGAGCGCTTGAGCGTTTCTGGGCGATGCTCGGAAGGCTGTCGTCGGGGGATGTTGGAGTCGGTCTGAGCGGATTTGGGTTCCCGGAGGCCCACACGGAAGACGCCAGAATCGCCCATGGATTTTGGACAAACAACGTGCGGTCTGCGCCCTCCAGTGACACCTGCATGAGCTTGGGGGCAATCCACTTCGTGCTGAAGGCACGGTGGCAGATTTCATTGTTGCGGGACGGGTTGCCGTTCAGGGCCCAGAGCCATGTTTTCAGCATGTAGTGGAGTGCCCCGTGGCTCATACAGATGTGGGTGCTACAGGGGTTGTGGGATTCTTGAATGCCCAGACCACACGTTTGCTAGAATTTCAGGCGTTTCTTTCGTTTCCCGCGTGAGCCTGCTGCGGGAGATCAAACCTGCCCAACCCGCTTCCAACACGCCCAAATAGTTGTCTAAATCCAAGTATCGTTCAACCTTGGTGGCCAGCCCAGGAGGCCAAAGCGTTGGAAAACCATGATCGTCGTGTTGGGTTCTTGTACTCTGCCTTTTAGTTTTCAGGACGTCCAAGACGGCCCAGCAGGCCCTTGATCCCCCCAAGACAGCTTCTGAAGCCCCCCAAGATGGGCTCAAGAGGCCCCCAAGAGAGGAAGCTGGAACTGCAGCTTGAAGCCCTCCACCTCAAAATTGCACCCGAGACAGCCAGAATGCGCCCCAGAGGGCCCCAGGAAGCCACAAAGACGCTTATAAGAGGCATAAATAGACAGCCAAGAGGCAGCATGTCCATGGCACAGGCACGCCAGCAGGATGGGTTGAAGGCGATTCGTATTTGATTAACCAAAGTAAACAAAACAACATATGCATCTTCGACTATTGTCGTATGGGACGCGTCAGACGGCGTTGGGCATCCATGATTGTCTACTAGCAGGAAACATTAAGGGTATAACCACTTCAACCATCAATGGAGAGACAAGTGCATGAAACATTCGCGCTGACATGCTACTCGTTCTGACAACATGTGTTTCACAGCCTGGTGGCCTTGTAAAGGGGCCTGAGGATTGGGAAGAAAACCCAACGCTAAAAGTCAGGGGAAATGAATTTGGGAATCGTATCCATCGCGTCCCACGTGAAGGAGGTGGAATTATTGTCGCGGTGGTGGACCACCAGTTCCACTCTAAGACTGCATCCTCTTCTCCAGATTTGAAAGTGCGAATGCAGCTGGCCTTATGTGAATGTGCTACCGCACTCGACGACTGGGACAAGCTTGCGTCTGCTGTCGAGCTCGGTTTTGGGTCAACTCCTCAGCCGCTCTGGGTCAAGAGCGCTCCTTACATCTTGAAATTCTACCAGAACTTTTCGAAGGATCGCGGTCCAGCGGAAGCTCTTGTGAGAATGTTGCGTATTTTGTCGCCGCAGGTGGTCAAATCAGATTTCCCAATTGAAGTCGCCAACGAGCTTCTGTCACTGTGGGGCGAGCATTGCGATGCTTTGAGGGCGTACGTTACCCAATGTAACCACAAGCGTGAACTTCAAGCAGGAGGGTATGCTATACAGCTGCTTGCGGCAACCCCCTCCTGCACGTCAGCGCAGCATCGACTTAACACGCAGGATGGTTCCACCGAGCTCTTCCAAACAGGCTCGGTAGAGCCACACGTATACAAGCCCTGTCGCAAAGTTTCGGGCATTTGGGGTTGAATTGGGTTTCTTTGGGGCGTTCTGATATTTGTTTGATGGCGCATCCGGTCGGAAACCAGGAGGAGGAGAAGGAAGATAAGGAGCCAGGCAAGGATGATGAGCAGGATGAGGACGGGAAGAGGAGGAAGAGAGGGAGGTAGTTTCCTAGGATGGCATTGCATGTGTCCATGGTGCAACACGGACTCTAAACATTGCAGGCAGTTATTGGATATCTTCGGTGTTGTGGTTGTATTAGTGTTCATAAGTTGTAGAAGTCATGACCGCCTGGTGCGTATGAACGTATCTGGAGACGTCCCTATTTGGGCGTGGTTTGATTGCATGCCCCTGACGGGAAAAGCGGAGGAGGAGGAGGATGCGGAAACGGTGGAGCACGATGACGGGGAGTAGAAGGGCGTGGGGTAATGGTTGTACCGAGCTAGCCACGAGAAAACTAGTAGTAGAGCATCAAGGTAGTATCAGAATGGTTTTACCACGGGCCCGCTTTTGCATGGCACAGTCAGGGTTCCACCATTTCAGCATGGTTCTAGTAGTTTGCTTATGTGTGATTACGTGGAGCCCCTGCTGTCCCTTGAGACCGTTCTGGGACGTCTCTGGCGCAATACATCTACCGAGCTTTTCCTAAGAGGCTTGGAGTCCTGGGCCCCCGCGGGGCCCGAGACTCACGGCCCATCTCGGGGCCACATGTGAGGCAGTGCTACGATATTGTATGATGGCCTGGCCATAACTATGCATATTGCTGCAGTGTCTCTCGGGGGGTTCTTGGAAGCTTCGTGGTGGATTTTTCGGTGCCTCTGCGAGCCCTCTCAGGGGCCTCCTAGGAGCTTCTCAGAAGCCCCGTCGGAGCTCATCGGGGATAGTGCGGCTGTTTGGGACGCAGTGGTTCTACCTAGCTCTCCCGAAGAGGCTGGACTGCCTGGACGTGTCTTAAAGCAGTACCGGGAGGTCGTGCGACCACCGTTGGACCGTCTTGGGGGTTCATGAAACGTCGTATCTTCATCTTATGAAGGAAGAAGCATGCAATGAAGCAAAGCAACGCATTGCAACGCCATGCGAAGCAACACAGTCCAAGGTCATGGAAAGCAGTGCAATGCAAAGTGTAGCAACCCGATACAATGCTCAAAAGAATTTCTCAAGGCATACAAATGCGAGACAGTGCACCCAGCGAGGAATCCCATGGACCCTCGGTGGGGGGGCACTTCGGACCTGGCGGGGTCCACCACTATCGCCGCCAACCTTCTTGCACAAAACGCAATTCAACCCATGTTGAAGCCTACTTGGTCAAAGGCCGATGTCTGCACGCGAGGTCATTGGAAGCTTCGGGGGCCTTCATGGGGTCTGTTCGGGTCTATCCTCCAGAGACATGTTGGAGCCTCTGGATGGTATCTGGGCAATCGTGAGCCAGTCTTGAAGCATATTGCAGCACTCTCAGGGTGGTCTTGGGCAGTCTTGAGGTCGCCTAAAACCCAAGAGCGCCATTGGGTAGCAACATGTAGGAAGGACAATGCTCTGAATATTGATTCAATGATCGGGAGTCGTACTTGGTACATTGTGGAAACCCTGTCAGGCAGCAACAGGAATTCTGACACGCACAAAGTATCGGTGGTGGTGCAGTGGCGGACAATTATTGCGAACTGCCTCGTGGAGCTGCAAGATGCGCTGATGGACCCCAGAACTCCGAGAAGCACATGTTTGGCGTGGATTGCCCACGTTGGCAGTTCATGCATCAGCTCGTCCACGCTCAGCGTCGATACCGTTTTTCGGTTCATGAAGGAAAGATCAGCGAAGCTGTACGTCCAAGACAATTACGAACAGATTGTGGAAGAATTGGCACGTTTGGAATTCAAGTGTGAGGATGTTGCACCTCTTATCGTCTTCGGCCCTTCTACATTCCGTGAAGTCTACATGGCATTCCGCCAGTTCTGTGTCAGTCCAGTTGGGTGCAATGCGGTAGCAGTTTGGATCAAAGAGCGGATTGAGCATCCCGAGTTTTGGAAGATGGAAGGAAAGAAGGAGGATCGACCTCAGGTCGGGGAGCGGGTGAGAATCCGCAGTGGGAAAGCTAAAGGGGTTGCCGGCCAAATTATACGAGACGACAGAGACCACTTGCCTTTCAAAGTCCTTTTCCCAGAACCTTGGCACAGCAGACTCACGCCGAACGAGCAGTGGTTCAAACTGGATGACGTTGAGATGGTGGGGCGTATCATGACGCCGCGCATCTTCAGCACGGAAGAAACGTTCGCTGAAATGCGCACGTTGTTCGAATGCATCTTGTTAGATCAAGAAGGAAGCTTTCTGCAGCCGCAGCATGGACCTGATTTGTTGTTGGCAGTTCTAGGTTCAAAGGCGTGGGAGGTTCATGGCCCAGAGGAGACCGCGTGTGCAGCAGAGGTGCTCCTGGTCTTGTCGCGTTGCTTCATCGCTTTGGGAGACGACCCTGTGTGGTCTGCGCAGCAGAGGATGAAGTGCCTCGACCACTTAGAAAGGTTGCTTCGTCGGATGGTGTCTGAGGAGCCCGACGAGCGAATTTGTGAGAAGATGTTGGAGTTTGCGATATCGGCCGGTGGCAGCTACCCTTGGTTCGAAGGCTTAGCCACATATGCGATCAACCAACTACCGAGCAATGTTTTCTGCAGCAACAGTATGAAGCTCCTCTTCCAATACCTTCCAAGAATGCCGGACTTCCTTCTTCAAGCTGCCATCCAGCGTGCGACAGAGGGATTTCAACACGGGATTTCCGTTCGTGCCGATTTCAAGGCCGCGTTGCGCGTGTATTTGGAGCCGCTGTTGACAAAGGAATGCCACGGGGCTACGGAGAAGTTCTGCCAGGCGATAGTGGAAACACTTTTCGAGCAGCTGAAGGTGGCGGTGTGCATACAGGATACAGACAGGTTGGATCCAGCCTTGCGTGCTGCAGTCGAGTTTCCAGATGCGTGGCAGTACCTCTTCTCCAGGTTTGCACACGCGGGGGGCCACAGCAGCATGACCGCGTTTTGGGGGGAGGTTGCGGACCGCAAACATCGTGTTGAACAAGCATTGTTCCGCTTGGCCGACGGTGACATGCTGGCTGCCGATTTCAGAGCTCACGCCGAAAAACAAACGCATCTCGCACGGTTCGCCCAACGCGATTTAGACCAAGTCTTGGTGGCAGCAATAAACCGCCATATTCAGCGTCTTGACAGAATTGAGAGCCTGGAGCGCACATTCGATCAGTTTTTGAAATCGGTCGCGGTCCTGAACCCAATTTTGGCGCCGATGAGACAGGATCTCCACAGAGATTTCAACGCCTTCGTGCAAGAGCGCCAGAGTATCACTCGCGCGCGTGAGTGGGGGGCTTTCCCGTTGGCCGAACTCTGCGCAGGTGATTTGGAGTTTGGCAATCACGCCGCACAGTCAATCGTTGCAGAACTGTTGTGGGGCAGGCTTGGAGCACAGGGGTGTTCCAGCGACGCTGCGACGCAGGGGGTCGCAGAACGGATCCCAGTAAAAAGTGATGAATCTCCGCAAAATGTCATTCAGAGATTGGTCGGGGCGCTCCGGGATGATTTGGTCACGCTCTTGGTCAACGTCAGCGGTGGTAAAGTGTCCAACGACTCTGTGCGACCATTCATCCAAGCACTGGATGCAGCAATTCCGAAGGCCACTTGTCCAGATCCCAGCCTCAGTGCAACGCAGGCCAAGGCGTTTGCACGGCAGCAAGTGCAAGAAGCAGGCAAGGCAGTGAGGCAGAGGGCAGACATGGAGTTCAAGATCATCACGAGTTTGGTCCCGGACGTTTGTCCAAGGTTGAAGTCGCCTGAGGAGCTCGCCAATTTCATGTGCCAGTGCCACGACATGTGGCATGCAAGGTCGAAGGTCAAGTCGTTTCATGCCCTTTTGAATCAGGAGAAATTGAAGAGTGCCTTGGAGCCTTCCTTGTACCAGGGCTCGCAGTACGAAGCATTGGACGAATTTCGCAAGCAGGTGGACACGTTCGATGAATGTTCGATTGATTCGTCGCTGACACAATATCTTTCGTTTCAAAAAGAGGTCCCCGCCATACAAGAAGTGTCTGAAGACGTTCTTCGTTGCCTTTGTGATGCTCTCACAAATGGGCTCATGGCTGAGCTCGTCGCTTTCGAATCGAACGCTGACTTCGTGAATTTCCGGGATCGTTTTCTCGCGCAAGCTTCAGTGGGCATCGAGGAGGATATCATGCTCTGTTTCCAGCGCGTTCGCGATGCAATGACGAACGTGGTATACGGAAAGCCCGCGGGAAAGCCAACCGATTTGCAGAATCTCTTGCTTGAGCTCAACTCGTTGATCGTGACAGACCTGAGAATGCTCGCAGAGCGTGTCAAGATGGTTTACACAGTGAGGTTGAATTCTGGCACCATGGAAGGCATCACTGCCTTAGAAAACACAGTCTGCTTGCTTGGTCATGGTTCTTTCATCGTGACGCTCAGGCGGAACGAGACCGTGAGTTTCCACGCTGAGGTCCTTTGAGCGACGAGTCCCATGATCCCACGCAGTCTTGTGATCCCATCCATGGATGCCTCCTGAGGAGGATGATGGGACGCAGGAGAGGGAGGGATGTCTCCTCTACCTCTCTCTCTCTCTCTCTATCTCGCC